GTCCAGCCAGCTCTAGGGGTACTACTGGAGCTGGGGAGAAATGAGGAGAGGCCAGGCTGGGAGGGATCAGCACAGGGGGGTTGTGGCAAGCACCGTCTCTCAAGGAGGGAGGGTTCCCGTGGGCTTCCCAGCCGTTCCCACCCATGCCACAGCCAGCACCCTTCAGCGCTAAGCTTAGATCGTGAGCTTCCCAGGCTGGACACCACGTGAATTTGTATATAAAACAGGGAGAGCGCACACATGCTTTGTGTAAACAGACATTGGAGTGAGGAACTCTACCACGGCCAACATATCCGCAGGTCAGCTGGAGTCCTTGCTGGGACTGCAAAAGACGGCTCAAGTACCGTTCTCCACATGTAAGCAGGACGCACACCCCTGGCTACTCCTGGATTAGGTGGTTACCTTTACCTCCTGATCTCTCCTGGTCCTCTAAAAGTCCGCTCGCTTTTCGGCGTCCTGTCCCAAGAGCAGCCTGGGCTTGCTTGTTGCCGGCTCATTAGCTTGTGACAAACCAAGAGGACCGATGAGCTTTTTACGACTCTGGAAAAACAGATGATGGTATCTTGGAGACTAAACAGTCCCGTTTCTGTCCCCGTCGCTGGCACGGAAAGCTGACAGCCCTGGTGAGGGAGAGGCCCGCGGAGGAACGCAGGAGGAGCAGGCAGTAATTCTCGCGCTTGGTTAGAGCTGGACTAAAAATAGAGAGCCTTGAACCTCTTTTACTGTTAAAAGCCTGCATAATTCAGACAAGTTTTACCAGTAAATTGCAGCTCTAAAGGAAAAACCCCACAGCCTTAAAAGGTCTCTTGAAGTCCGTCCAAATCAGCGTTCTGCCCAAACACTCTGTACAGGAGGGAGGAGGAGGAGAGGGTGGGAAAGCAGATGCTTAAAGGCAGCTCCGGAAAAGACAAAGTTTTCCCCCCCGCCTCTGAGCCGTGCCTGCTGCCGGGATGGCACGTTCGAGCTCGCTGGGCTGAGGGCAAGAAGCAGCCCTTCGCTCACTCATTTCTGCAGTGCCACCCACCCAGGCGGTGCTGCCTCTGCCTCGGGGACCGACTCCTACCGAGGGAACTGTGGGGACGAGGAATCGTTGAGCTGCCAGACTGCAGCGCGAACCGGCCTCCCAGCCCTGGGTTTGTGCAAGTATCTGAAGACTAAACCGAGCCTTAGGTGCACGTAAAAAAAACCCCACCCAACCCAAACCCCAAAGACAACCCTCAGAGGCACAGACAACACTCCTCCCCTTTTGTTCCTGCCATCCTGTGGGTGTAAGGAGTTGGCATCCTCCATCAGTCTCCTGTCTTCAAACCTCATTTCTGGCTTTCTCTCCTTTTATTCCTTAAGCCCTTGCTTGCTCCCTCCTTCCTTCTCCCAGTCTGCTCTCAGCATTTCCTCAACACAACAACAGAGGCAGTGACCTTCTGCAGAAGATGACGTAGATGACGGTGAACTCTGGCAAAACTCATCCCCTTCTCGCTTGGCCTGTAAAGAGCTTCCCCACGAGCATTCAGTTTTAATTCATCAGCTACCACTTTTAGGTGTTCAGAGGTGCAAACCTCTCAAAAAGAAAAGCTTTACTGCATAACACAGATGTCAAAAATTACCTCCAGAGCAAACCCATCTCTGTGGTGAGGAGGAATAGCTGTGACAAGGCAGCTGGCACTTCAGGCTGCCGATGCAGGAGTGTATGGGTGGAAGGGCATCTCTGGAGGCAGATCCAATTTTTTCCATTGGAGATCCACCTAGAAATAAGCAGGGAAAACAAGCACGGTGACATTCAAGCAGACCTGAACCCTTCCACCTTCATGACAAGTGAATTAGTCTGGAGGCAGCGAGCAGAAGCATCCCAGCTCTCTGCAGCAGTGAGTCACTCTATACCCTTCCCACAGCGAAGCTTAAAGTCTTCCCCACTTGACAGCCGAACGCGTCTGTGGAAATGGAGCGTGGAACAGAATCGACAGGAGCTGGGAGGTAAGGGCTGCTGCTTGCTTCTTGCTGGGACTCACACAAACGTGTTTGAGGTGCTGTATTTCACAGGAACGGTGTAAATGTCCTGCTGGCAGGGCACCACACAACTAGTAAATCACGTTTATTGGCGTTTTTTAGGCTACAAATACACATGGCCCTCACAGGGCGCTGCTGGATGTCAACAAAAGCCACAAGGATGGTCCTGTCAGCCTTCAAACTTGGGGTAATTAGAAATGTGTGCTCCCTGCTCGCCTCCAGCCGAGTCTCCTTTCCTCTCACAAAGCCTGGGGAATCAAATAGGGGAATAAAACTGGCTAATATTCCTTTCTGGGCTTGTTTCTATCTACATGTTGACACATCTGATCAGTTCTGTTCCTACCAGGCTTTACCCTTCTAAATACTAAAGAAACCAGAACTTAGCAGCATCGTGCCGCTTCCTGTATCATCTTGAAATGTTTATTGCAACTGGGAAAGCACGTGAATGGAAAATGTACAATCTGGTTTCAGGTGGCAGGAGAGAGAGAACAATGAATGAGCACCACCGTGTTCTTGGGGAAGTGCAACAATTTCCCTCGGCGTGGCAAAGAATTTATGGTGTTTGGCCAGGATCGTGGATCCCAAACTGCCCCAGGTATCACTCACACAACAAGCCCTCTGCACGGTGCTTGCTCGTGAGCCCCTTCCCACCTGCCTGGTTCCAAATGCAAAAGGTATCACTAGATGAAGACCAGGTGAAGTGGTCCTGAGAAATGCTGGAGAACAGCGAGACGTGACAAATGTAGCAACGTTTTCCTAAATTTCTCCAAATTCAACCTCTGTCAGGTTCCAAGATCTCTTGGGCTGCCCTCCATCCTTCTGTCAACTCTTTCTCCCTTGCCCGTCACCCCTTGCCCAGGGCAATTAGGCAGTTGGCCACCACGTATGTTATTCCCAATGTATTTTAAAATTGATTTAGAACTGGTGAAAGACGACAGCACCAGAGACTGAGACAGAGCAGCAGGGCAAGCTGCCCAGATGGTGCCCGTTCCCGAAATGCCTTCAGGGAAAGGAGGAAATTTAATTCTCGTGGCCCGCTCCGTGTGCTCTTCCCTGGCGATGCCAGTTACCGTTCAATGCAGCGTTTTCTAAAATTACCAACTTTGAACGGTTCACGAACTCGGTGAAGACCACCGACCAGCTGTGAGATGTCTCTCAGTGAGGATTTTTGGATGCAATTAGCCGGGGCCGGGTTCTAAGTGGTGACTCAGAAGCGAGTGGGGCTCTCTAACCTTTTCACCACCCTTGCTTCTGTCAACCTTGCCTCCTAATGATTGCTAAACTCAACCTGAAAACATCCCCGCCGATGACAGAAACCGGAGCTCTGATTCCCGGGGACAAGCGTTGCTGCCGGGAATCGTCGGGTTTAGCAAACCACTGGTTCCCGGGCTCTGCTCCATCAGCTAAATGTTTCCTTGTTACATCCCCAAAAATCCCCTGGGGTAGGGGAACATGCAGCAGAAGCACACTCGATTATTTTTCAGAGACTTTCCCCTCTGGGCTGGCAAAGATCTGAAGGAGCTGGCGGCCAGCCCACTCTTCTTCTGATAAATGTTATTTGCAACTAAAAATGGATTAAAATAGCCTCTGAAAGCTTGTCTGAAGGGGAACAAGCAGTCTTGTTCAGAGATGCCATTAGCAAGAAGATGTGGAGAGGGCTATTCTGAGGGCTACTTATTTTTGGGTTTCACCCCACTTTGTCATTTGCCTTGACCGAAGCGGAATAAGGAGATTAGAACTAGTGCTTGGGGCACCGTCGCTGGGAGCAGCCAACTGGCCAAAGCTCACACTCAAGGTTCCTCTGGTTCTTCACCCATTCCCTGCCCGTGACATGGACCCAGGGATCCTGGGCCTTGGCCACCACATCCATCAGAGAGCATGGATTCTCCACAGGCCCCAAAAAGGCAAGAACATCAGGAGTGCTGGCCATCTGTTTTGCCTGCACGGTCCTGCTCTCGGTCTTTCTCCGGATCTTCCCTTCATAGCTGGCTGGAAGTGAGGAAGATGCCAGAGCTTTAAGGGTTAAAAGAGAGAAAGTGCATCCTCTTTCCCACCGAGATTTGTAGCTTGTGGATCTTTGCACCTCTGCTCCATCGACTCATCTACGAGGATCCTTCCAAACAGGCTT